GATCCTTACTGCTGAAAAAGAAAAATCCTTTTTAATACTGAACATACTAATGGCCTCAGCTATGTTTCGGAGCTCTTACCAGTCAGCCCAAGAAGAAAGGCAGTTACTGCACCATGAATCTTTCCAGAATTGGTTTACTCACATAACAACCTCTTTCTTTGTCGTCTCCAGAGACAGGTATTCAGTCCAGGCAGTTGAGCTATCGTATTTTTTGGACTCATCAACGATCTTTTGAAACATTGTTCTCTTTCTTTGAGAGACAGAAAAAAAGAAAGCTCAAAAGCGGGAAAACTAGCGTGTTAAAAATAGTTGGCTGATCATAGTTTGATAACCCTTACGACAGTGTTTCCAGTAGTTGCGGTCCTGGCATTTAGCTTCTCAAGCAAGACCCCAACCAAAGGCAACTACCATCACTTGATTGTTTTAAGAAGGAGAAACTACTGTAAATTACTTAAACTGGTTACCTACAAAGTAAGTATAGTAAGGTGAGAATGAGCAGTTAATTTGGTGACATCTGTTAACATGGCAACATTTATCAAATGACAGAAGCTAAATGAGGAATGCTTCTACATTTGCTGACATGACCAGCAGGCTTTTTGCCTGAATATTAAGCAAACTGCAGCAGAAGAAACCTGGAGCTGGATCTGGTACTGGAATTTTTTTAAGGCTACCTGTCTTTATACTCAGTCAGACGTTGTTAGCACTATTTATATGCCTAAAAATACGTAGCAAATGCTGGGGAGGGTGTAATACACAACATGCCCATATTTTGAGTGGCATGAAATCCAGAAAAATCTGCCGTTTCAATGCTTGAGCGAGATATCCACAGAGAGACTCGAGGACGTGGGCTGTCCATTCACTTTCCCTGGATCTGATCTAAATCATACCTTCGATCACAAGCTGCAGACCAAGGATGGCAAAGACGAGCTTGTTCTCATCTGGTAATGAAGTGGTAGTATCTGCTCCCATCATGAGTGAGAGACCCTGGGGACAAGCTCCTGTTTCCAGGACAGCTGGTATTTTGCCTAATCATTCTTCAGTGCAAAGTACAGAAGCAGGTCTCTGATGCCGGCACTTGAGAGCAGCAGATTTTGAAAGCTCCTTGCTAATTAGGAAGTTATGCGTTGGTGACTGCCAGCTTTATGCCCCAGGGAGGCAGTATATCCTGCTTCAATTTGTTCGGCCTTTTTGGCTTTTGGGTGTGGAATAGACAAGAGACTAAGTATTCATTGACAACAGACCCCTTATTATTTTGGGCTGCTCTCCCAGAGAGGATAATGAAGACCCGGCCAAGTCATTGGCATTAATGAGTACTTTTAGTGTTAAATGATTGGGTAAAAAAAAATAAATCAGACATCTCTTGCAGTTAGGGGATCACACCTCGCTGCCTTGTTGGAAACCAAGAGCTAAAAGGTCACAGATGTGAGGCGTTTAGTAAAAGTTCCAAATTTTTTTGAGTGATTTGAATTTTCCTCCTTGCTTTGTAACGAACATTAAAGAGAGCTTTCTGGGGTTAGTGTCCATGGAGAGTGTCCCTACGCACAGAGTAAAAGCAGCATGTTTTATATTTGTAAAGCACCAGCTGCTTTCTATCCTGCGTACACCCTGTGCGTGACTTACTTGAAGTACAGCGCCAAGTCTGTCGCTATGATGGCGATTTCCATCAGGTGAATCACGTGCTCATGCTGTCTCCGGTTGAGGTTCTGACATATATTCAGCGACTGAAAAGCAAGCACAGAAGCTGTAAAAATCCAAGCACCGCTTTGTTAGGAGCTGCTGGGCACCTTCCTTTCTCCAATGTGCCTTTATTTAATAGCTTCAGCTGCAGTTGTCGGGCGCGAGGGTTATGAGCCCAGTTTGCTCTCCGTCGGCGCCAAGTCTGTGCCCTGGGGCTGTCACGGTCCCCAACCCCCCCCGACCCCACCACAAGCAAACAGTATAGCTAGCAGGGGTCCGTCAGCCTTGGCGTTACCAGAGAGGCCACGGGAGGATGAGCCTGTATTTAAGATTTAAGTCCTGGGGTCCCAATGGTATGGGTCCTGAAAAAAATCATATGTTTAGGAAGCTGATGAGTTTTGGTCCTTGGTGAACAAAATGCACTTGGGGGTGGAGGGGCTGACATGGCTGCAGTTTCTCAGAAATCCTAACCAGAGAAAGATCTTGTCCTAAACCTCTGGGCAGAGGAATCACGGAAGTTCACAGCACTATTGTTTATTGCTAAAAACTTCTCTGAAAGTAAATTATTCAGGTTCTTATGTTACTATGCATTACAAACCTCTTCAGAAAGCAAGAATTTTCCAAATTCCAAGTGGTGTCTCTCTAAAATTGAAGATCCGTGAAGTTTTGCTAAAGGATTTTGAGATCTGGTTGTGCAAATGAAAAATTGAAGATGTTAGTACAGTACTTAGAAGAAAAAGAAAGTGCCCCATTTGGTATTTAATTTTGCCACATTTCTTATCTAAGTTCAATTCATTTTACTAAAAGGCTTAAGAGCAGTGTTTTTAATAGCTAATGACTTCAGCCCAACAGGTAAAAGACTTTCTATGACACTACTTAAAACTGTTTGGCTGCTGTATGAAACATTCTTCCATCTGTGAATTTCACATAAAATATGGTTTCCATAGTTGGTTTTTTTCTAATTCCTGAATAACTACATATTGATGTCTGATAATAGCAACAGGAAAAACCGTCCTCACACACTTTCCCGGCTGAATTCCCCCAAGATCCAGTTGTATCCAAAACACCAGCCAGCTTTACCTACATTCAACCAAAAGTAGGTTTCAGCACACAGTAAGTTAACACAGCCAGCAAGCATTGCAAAAGAACTGTGATCTGACATTACCTTAAGCCTGCAACAGAAGCTGGACCTGTCGCTGAAATTACGAATATCCAGGATGCTCCTGGCAGCATCCTGAGTCTCCTATGATGCTCAGGCTACTAAATGCCTGCACTGCCCTTGGTCCACCCTGTAGCGGTAATGTTGTGGAGTGTTTTAGTCAAACAGCTGAGGCTAGATTGCTCAGAGAGAGAGAGCGCCTCAGAGAGCAGTGCAAAATCACAGCTTTCCCAATGGCCAAAACATACGTCAAGCCCTGTGGCAAGCTGAAAAGTTACTTGCAGAATAGTAGAAGTGAAATTGTTGTCCTCCGTGTATAAAACTGAGCTGCACAGGGGTTTAGTGTCATTGCTGTCTGACCCTCGCTCCATGCAAAGGCAACAGTAAACGGTCTGAGGTGGTAGGAAAGCGCTTACTTCATCTGGTAAAGGTTGTTGGTTCCTCTGTGGTCAATGTCGTGGCACAGAGCAGCAGTTACCATAGCAAGGGCTTCGAGATCGGTGTAGTAACGCTTCAGTTTGCCAGTCTGGAAGGTGAGAGTTTGCATGTCGTCCGTTAGTATCTCTTACAGGAAAAAGTGCTGGGCTGTGACTGCTCTGTGCTGGGGCTCTCCACATTGAAAAAGCCCAGGAGAACTGAAAATGTGTGTGAAGCTAAATACAATACACGATACACTTAGATTAAGATAGGGGAGCAACTGGAAACAAAATGTTTCAGGTGCAAGTCGGGGTCTGTGTGGACACGTGTCATGCACGTAGGCTCGATGCCTACCTGAGATGGTGGCAGCCCACCACAGCAGCTTACTCCCTAGGGAAGTTTGCATCCTGAAAACTAGCCTCAGGACACAAAGCACCCTGCAAAGGATCAATATCTCTGGGCATAGAGCAATGGGCAGTCCATGCTGGACTGCCTTAAGATTTGCTGGGCACCACGCATAACCCTACCACCAGCTGTGGGCCCTACCTGCTGCCCTCGCTGGGCCATGGTGCTGAGCTGAAGCAGCTGCGGAGAGCAAGTATGAGCCCTGGTTTTCATCTCGGGGCACCTACTGCCCGGACAGCCTGTGAGAAATGGGACTTGCCCGTTCATGCTAGCAATAGACTGACAGCGGTGGCTGTCCCACCTGGAAATGGAAAATGTAAGGTTGCCTTTATCTAAGCTAATGTCAGTCTGGCTTTTACCGTCAGAAGGTAGTGGAGAAGGGAAGGTCTTGCATTCTTTGGACCCTGAGCTACAAAAGGATTTAATCCAGAGGCTATTTATGCCGTACACACTTATACCAAAAATAATTAATGGACTCCATCCATCCAATAGGTTTGGTCACAGTTTTGAGTGCAATATGTGGACTCACGACTTAAGGTAAACTGAGACTTTCTCATTTGGTAGGAACTGTGCTAGGAGTGGCAAAATTCTATCTCCTAACAGGATCTGAAGGGATCCCCACTGACCTCCAGGGCACGCTGCAAGACTCCCTGTAAACAGAGCATGCCACAGAGTTAGCTGGGGTGGTGGTACCTTACCATCAGAAGTGTGAACATGGTCTGCGCAACGTTGAAGCCATGGCGCCAGTTGTGATAAGTTATCTTCCTGTAACCTTTGCTGACAGAGTACACAAACCTTACTAGCACCTGCAAGTTAGGAAAGAGGATGTTAGCTTACCTGCTGTTTGGGTTTTTCTTTTTGGTATGTGGGTTTTGGGGGTTTTCTGCTTTTTTTTTATTTTTTTTTTTTGTTGTGTATCACTATCTAGTAGTCACACTGGTAATCAGGAAAGAACCTGGAACTGCAAACAACAGAAATTAATCTGTGCTGCTTTTCTCTCTTGAGCCGTGCTTGCTTTTGGGAGAAGGGGCTTCCCTGACAGTTCTGCTGTAGTAGAACATAATGGAGTAGTGAAGTGGAATGGTTTAAAATATACCTCTCTGCTTCCTTATATTTTCCTGTGCCTATTTTTAAGAAAAAGAAAACCACAGAGGTGCTTACTGGGGAAATGAGAAATAGCAAGGTCTGGAGGAAAAGAGATTTCATCGTAATCTTTGTGAACTTACTAAATTTTTGTGATTCACTACATTGTCGTTAATGGTGCTTCTCCTTCCCGTATATTGTGATTTAACAATACAAATTCTGCTTTCAAAAGAGAAATGGCTCCACAGGTCTAGAATGATGGAATATATTATAACATCTAATTGATACTAGCACAGGGCATTGGACAAAAACTACTTTTTTTCTCTGCCTTGTACTTCTCCAAATGCATTCACTTCTGTACTTACACCAGAGAGCAAACAAATTATGGATGGCTATGCATTTTTTTTAGATCTTAGCTGTCAGAAAGGCAGTAAAGAATGTCTTTTTTTACACCTAGAGTGTGAAAATCAGGAATTAATTATTCCAGAGTAGATTGTTTGGAAGCTTTTTACAGTGATCCATGGTGTAAGTATGAAGCACAGAAGTACTTCCCATTCAAAGCCCTTGACTTCCTTCTGCCTTTCCCACCTGCCTTTCCAAAGGGAAGGATACCTGGCTGAAAGCTCTTCATGCAGTTGCCTGCAGATCCCGCTAGGTGGAAATAAACTTCACACGCTGTGCTGAAAAATCTCTTGGTGAGCAGCCCCAAAATGAGAATTTCCCACATCCTACAGAGGCATGAACTGTGGCAAAGGGTCTTGAACTTGTGAATCAGCAGCTTTCAACCTTTTCCTTTGGGGTCCTTGTTCCCACAGGTGCTGCCGCTCCTGTCAACAGCAGTCAGGATATCCCTGCCACTTTTGCAGGGGACCGAAAGTAGAGGAGGCTGCTGGTATGACTCCGAGTATATGCTGTCCCAAAGCTATAGAGTATCCACTATAGAAAGCGAAACACGTGCACGACGTGCTGCCCAGTGGTGCTCACGGAAATCATGCTCCTGCACTGCTGCTGTTAATGGTATTAGAGCAAGAGTAAGCAAATTTTGCATGGTGTAGTCCTCACCGTATAGACCAGACAACAAACCTGTGCCTGTAACTGTATAGGTGCATGGTGCTTCCCACCGCAGTACAGAAGAAAACAGACCAGCTGCATCCTCCAGAGCCACGTCCAGTAACTGAGGACTTTGCAGAAGTTCCCTGCACTCAGGGCTCTCCTCTTAAGGGTTTTCCAGGAAATCCCTGTTTATGGGAGGGCTTGAGCCAACTGATGGGACAGCACTCTTTCGCCAGAAAATCCCGCAGCACACCTGACCGAGCCCGTCCTGCGGGGCAGTGGTGGGGCTGAGGACATGCAGCTCTCTCCCTGCCAGCTCACGTGAACCCAGACCCCTGCTGCCCTGCCAGACGCGCGGTGCACGAACCGCCGACCTAATGGAGTGGGAGTCCCCGGGCATTGGCAGCTCCTACCTCCCGCGGGATCTGGAATTTTTTTACCACGCCGAGGT